AATAATAATAATAATAATAATAATAATAATAGGAAACAACCACATTTATAAGACTGGAAAATGCAATATTTTATGGGCGAAACTGAAAAAAAAGGGCAAAGTCAACCTTCGGGGACAAGCTAGCGGGTGGGAGGAGTTCTCATGGCAATAGGAGATAGGGCATCGCTGAAACCAGCAGCCCCCATCGTGTCCCCCCCCCCGAGATAGATGGGCTCCTGCGACGAGGTACCTAAACAAGGGACCTCCTGACCCATCCAGCAGCAGCAGCGCGCCTCTTCTCCCCGCGCTGCTTCTGCAAGCCTGAGAGGCGCGCGGCTCGCCTCTACTGCAAAACCGCATCCCAGTGCAGCACCATTCTCCTCTTGACAGCTCCTCGGAAGCCGCCGGGCGGGGTGCTGATGAGGGAGGGGCGGGGCGGGCGGCGAGAAGATGGAGAGGCGGGAAGAAGCGGGGCTTCACCGGCCAACCAAGCCTGGAAAGCGCTCGCGGGCGCAGACTGCTCCTGCGCTCGCCAGACCGGGCTTCTGCTCTGATTGGTGAGGCCGGGCTGCCAGTCAGATGATCAAGCCGGCTTGCTTGGGTGGGTGGGTTAGGCTGAGGGATTTGCTCTTGAGGCTGGGCAGCAGGAGCGGCGAGTAGGCTGTGTGGCAAAAGGCGCGCGTTGGGGGGGGGTCGCAGTCAGTCAGGAAGGCAGCTGTCCGTCCCATTCAAAGCAAAGGGTGAAGATATGCACTCATCGGAACGGAATTTGCAGCCATGCAAGGCGGCGCGAGCGGGACGGCTCTTTTGCCTTTCTAAACAGTGAGTATTGGCATTGCTTAGCAGAGGAGCCCCCCCTCCCCGATCAAAGGCATGCTATTTGTACGCGGGCCCCCCCCGGTCCCCAGCGCATTCCACCCGGCGCCTTTTGCAGTTATAATTGCAACTCCAGACCGCCAAAGTTTGTGGGGTGGCGGGCGTCGGTGGCGGTTCCAGTCCTGCTCCTCGGTGCAATGTCTTGGATAGAGGCGTCTTCCTCCAGCTCCTCCCTACGGCCTGTGTGCCTTTCCAGCATCTCACAGGTGAAATGAACTTCAGCCTTCAGTAGTGACCCAGCTCTTTTCCTCCTTCTGTTCCCCCCCCCTCCACCTCGGTACCTGCAACGCTTCCAAGAAGCAAGAGTGCCAGCCCGACCTCTCCCCCAGCATGAAGAGGTGCAAATCGGATGAGCTGCAGCAGCCAGACGAGGACTCTGCTGGGACTGAAGATGCCCCCATCCTGTCAACCATGGAGGCCAAGCCTGGGGATTTTGCTGCTACCCACTCGGATTTGGGCACCTATAATCCAAATCCAGCACCCCATCCTGCTACTCGGAGTAAACCTCCTGATTTAAAGGTAAGCTTCTAGGGCTTCCTGTCTTTCATTCTTCTTCCTTGAAAAACAACAACAACCCACAAGCGTTTAAAATTGTTTTTTCTTGTTACTGCTACTGTCTGGAGCCGATAACTTCATTGCGAAGTGGGAAATGTTTAAATTATTAATAACTGCAAAAATGCCACATATGTCACATTTAGTGGCTGTTGTTTTGAAAATACCTTCATCTGCTCTGTATTTCCCCAATGGCAACACTGTCTAACTTGATGGACAAGTTCTTGTCTGTATGTTTTCTTGTGTTTGTTCATTTTTATGTTGAATCAGATTGTTCCCTTTTTATATACCTTTTCCGTACTGTTGTGTGCAGATCAAATACATTATAGCACTGGCAGAGGTGGACAGTAGGATGTGTATTCATGTGTGATTGATCAGGTTCAGTATCTTACAAACCAACTTTCCAAATATCCATTTTTATAGCAATATGTTTTGGGTTGTAATTCTATACCCATGTTCCTAGGACTAAGCTCCCATGTCTGTATTTGAGTAGATATATAGAGAAGTGTTTAGTAAATTGAGTACTGACAGCTATAACTAGTCCCAAATGCTGCCCAGCACCTCTAGCAATGATAAGTGATTATTATTTGCTCTGTGTGAATCTTGAAGCTTAGTTATACAGCATGAAATACTGGAAAGGCTAATATCACTACAGGATTTAATGAAGAATTATACAAGTTTTACATAGTTATTAGCCAAGGCAGCTCACTATACTTCATCTTTATGTTTACTAGAATCCATGAGTGAACGCTAGGAATTTATTTTATTGTAGTCATAAAGAGATCTAATTTATGTGCACATCCCCACACTGTGCTCAAAGTAGCTCACAATACCAGAAGAGAAGTATGGAAGACAGAAGGTGTATCAATGTGGTATTGCAATAATATACTGTCACTGCTGAAAATAAATGAAATAGTTTATGCATGCTAATACTGTAACACTGTTTCTAGACCAGTACTTCCCAACTTTGTGTCCCCAGATATTCTTGGACTACAACTCCCAGAAATCTCTGCCAGCTCAGTTAGTGGTGAAGTCTTATGGGAGTTTTAGTCCAAAAACATCTGGGAACTCAAGGTTGCCAACCACTGACCTGGACTATACAATAGCTAGAGAGTTTCTAGATACTAGTAATTTAATATTATTTGTCAGTAATATATACGCTTGAGCCAAATGTGCTAAACCTTTCCACAAAAGTTAACATAAACAACCAGGAAACAGACCCCCCCAAAGCACCAAGTACTAAAAAACCAAACAACCAACAAACTAACCAACCAAACAAAGAAAAAACAGTGACCCAGGCTCTCACAACCTGAGCTTTCAAGGCAGTCTTGGCATTATAATGTTTGGCTTTGTGTCTCATTCATCCAAAGCCTCTAATTTTGAGCATTGTCACAGACAGCATACTGTTTATAAATGGGCCAGCATATCTATAGTTTGTCCATTGCACTGTGATTTTCCCTCACAATGTATCTATGTGACTTGGTCTGATCAATTTTATCAATTGAATCTTTATCAATTGAATCTGCTTAGTCAGTGTAAATGTCAGAGTAAATAATGTGAAGTACCTGTTCCTAGTAAGGATGTTTGTTGTGTGATGACTAAAGACCCTGTATGGATGTTTGGCTTGGGATTCAGGAATTTCCCAATATTCCCCCTGGCTTCCTTCAATGTGGTGAACCACTCAGCTGCTGTAAAAACAGATATATTTACTAACCTTTTTATTAAAGCACTTTGAAATGTACAAACAAAACAGTAGAGGATAGCCGAAACACTAAAGGTATAATAACACCTATTTGCTTAATCATCTGCCGTAAGTAAGACTCATGTCCAAGGAAAAGAGAAAATTGAAAATTGGGTGAAAGTTTATCTTCTTGCTTTCTGTGTGGGAGACAGCATTAAACAGATGAATATCTCAAGTATGGTGGGTAGTCAGTGGATACAAATATGTTGCATTTTAAATTTTGGGCATTAATTTCTTTGGGTTTTACAAAGTTTCAGGCTGATTTTTGCTTAGTCAGTGTCACTGTTCTTGTCAACGACTTCAGTATGAGGATCTTGCAGCTTTTCTATCACAAATAATTCTGCAAAGGCAGCTTGTGAGATAAGCAGCCATCAGTTCAGACAGTCCTTTTGCAATTTGGTCATATCTCCTTCTGCAGCCATTTGGTAGATACCTCTGAGCTAAAAATGAAATAGAGAGAGAACAAAATAAAAGGAATGTACAAAGGCAAAAATATACTTAACTTTCTGACCCCTTCTATATTAGAAGGATCACTGGCTATGTACTGTTTTGCTGCCTTACCTCTTAGAGTGCCTTCTCTTATCCTCAACTTGTATTGTGTTTGGTACCCCTGCTCTCATACCTCCAACATGCAGCTTCTCTTTGTGTTGCCATTTAATTTCCTTCGCTCATATCATTGGGCCCCACATTGGTAAGGACTTGTCTCACTCTTCTCTTCCAGCACTGCCAGCAGGTTTAGGGTTCTATCTTTGAGCAATTCTGGGCCACATATTTTTAAAAACTGATAACCAAAAAAAGACATGCAGAATTGTTCCCCATTAGTGTCACATGTTCTGCATAGCTCACCAACTGCAAAACAAGAGGCATGGCTATTAATCGATGAAGCCAAAATACGAAGGAAGTTGCTCAGTATTGGAGCACCTGCAGTATTGGAGAGTCTTGCAGAGTGCGGGCCGCATACAAGTCGAATGGATGATTGTGAAGAAGAGGTCTCCTGTTGAAACTCTGGCATCCATGGGACTGGGAGCAGGAAACCCAAGTGATCTCTGCCTGATAATCTGGAACTGTTGTTTGGCAGAGTGGACAATATTAAGGAAGATGGACAAAGAGATAGACAGTATAAGAGCTTTCTCTGTTCCTACAGATGTTAGTCATACTTCATTGAAAACTGCACATGTTGCAGAATCAGCTCAAGTGCCACAATTCCACTCATGCTCTTCAGACCATAGAAACCTCTTTTACTATACAATTTGCAGCTGTCAAAGCTATTTAGTTACAGTGGGTCTTTCTTGAACTGTAAAGACACATTAGCAAGGCCATATGCTATGAACAAAACTTGTTGAATATCCGGTGGTAACCCATTCCAGCAAACACTAAGGAGATCAGCAAGGAATGTTTATCTTTTTTGATAGGATTAAACACATGTGCAATGAGGAAATGCCCCTCCTGACTCCCCCAAGAGGCTTTTCTGCTGTATTGCTAGAACTGCAAAACAAGAAAGTCCACGGATGATAAAACACTATATACAAACATACAAAAGGGAAATGATACTGTTTTAGAAGAGCTGATTTAATTGTCTTTGAGGTCCAACCGGCATCAGTAACCTTCTAGGAACAACAATAAATTGAAATAGCAGTGCACTGTGTACTAGAAATGCACAGAATCAGTACTTTGCTGAATAGGACAGAGGAAGCAACTCTTTCCCACTTCTAATACCTGATATGAATATTGAGAAAATTGTGATTGGAAGACATAATTCTGATGTCTCTCCACTCCAAAGAGAATAATAATATAAATATATATATTTCTAGCCTTTCCCCTTCAAAAATGCCTCATACTGTATGTTAATGCCTATAAAATGTTCTTTTCTATTATTGGCACACCATTGTCACTAATAATAAGTAATTTACAATAATAACAGCTTAGCATGAGGTGGTTTTTTAAACTGTGCTTTGCCAAAATGAAGGAGCATCTGTAGTCTTCATTTTATACTATGAAGCACTAACGTAGCAGTGCAAGAAACAGAGATGGCTGTAAATCCTCATCTGGTTTATACTAACTAAAGAGTGAACCTGAAATACCAAAGACTTGACTCTACTACTCCAGGACAAATGCCAGGGATTGAACCTAGCTCAGTGGTTTAGGTATCTGGCTGCAGAGCCAGCATTTGGGACTTCAGTTCTCCACTGCGCCTCCTGCATGTAGAGCCATCCTGTGTGGCCTTGGGCAAGCTGCACAGTCCCAGGGTACCCCAGAAGAAGGGAATGGTAAACCACTTCTGAGTACTGTCTACCTGGAAAACCCTGAAAAGGATTGACAAATGTCAGAATTGATTTGATAGTGCATAATTATTAGTATTAAGTAAATTAATAGTACACAAGAGCTTTTATAAGTAATTACTTCCCACACACCCGAAGTTAGCAAGGACAGTTTTTGGACAGTGGTCTGGAGGCAAAAAAGAGTGAGCAGGTGAGTAGCTCTGAGAACAGTTCAGATCTTATTCCAGCAAAGAGTGGGAGTTGCTCAGACTGAGTCAGTCCAGATCTCAGATTTTATAGGGCCAGATGGAAGCCTGTTGCCTTTGGTGTCACTTGACAGCTGCTGGATTATTACTAATCTGTAAAATGGTTGGTGCCCAAGTGTAGTATAGATCAAGCCAATGGTTGCTGTGTGTCACAGGCCACCCCACTGGAGGCAGAGAGTAAGGAGATAGCTATGATGATCAGACACCTTGGCTTTAAACCTTGCTCTTTTTCATAGGCTGTCTTGAATCTTGCTGGTTCCTTGTTTGGAACAAATCAACTAGGAGGGCTCTTTGTTGTTGTTTAGTTGTAAAGTCATGTCCAACTCTTCGTGACTCCATGGACCAGAGCACACCAAGCCCTCCTGTCTTCCACTGCCTCCCAGAGTTCATCGACATGTTTATTTATATATTTATATTTACTTATGGTTTGCTATATGCTTTCTTTTCCAAATGTATAATTAGGAAGCAGAATTTTCATGTAGAGGGCATACATTCAATGTGGGCAGTCTGGTGGAAAACTCGTTACAGAATTGGCCTCTGCTACTATCTGTTAACACATAGGCACTCACTTAGCTGTAGGACAGCTGTTAGCTCAGTTACTGTCAGGTGATACAAGGAAGCCCACAGGGCTTCCATCTGGCCCTTTAAATCCCCCAAATTTAGTTGAATTTGGCAGTCTGAGCAGTGTGTTGATTGAGTCAA